ACATATATATATATATAATAATTATATAATAATATATATATATATATATTTATAATAATATATATAATAATACATATATATATATATATATATATATATATATATATATATATATATATATATATTTATCAGACTCTGTATTTCACTCCCCTTTGTACTAGTGTCTAGTCTTTAACTTTGTAGCCATTCATTAACCAAGTATCCTGTATATATCCCAGCCCGCCACCGAGATATCAGAAGCGGACAAGCCCGGTGCTGCAGCAAGCAAGACTAAGATCAGGCCAAAGACATCGACCAAAAAAACCAAAGCAGGTGGCAAGGATGCCAATCTGGATGTTATCTGTGCCGTCCAGACCCAGACAGTCAATGCGAAGGGTACCAGCACCTTTCTCACATGCCGGCGATCACTGTCATGCAAGGTAAGTTTGCAGGTGGTACTGTTACAGATGTGGTGTAGGCACGAGCGCTTCTAGTTGCATCTGATACTAGCTCTGATATATACAGGCTCTTTGCCTGACTTGTGTACTCGCAGCTGGTGCGTACCTATTTTTGAGTCTGCAGTGGATATACATTGGGGCTTTGTATTCTCATGTCGACCTTGTAGTGAATGAGAGAATATAAGGGTATTTCACGCGTGTAGTGTTGCTATAACCCAATATATACTCTGCCGACCGCAATGGTTAGTACACAATTATGAGTGCGTGTAGTTCAAAATGCATACCGCATGCATCGAACGGTACGATTTGCACGGGCTAGTTTTGCTCTGCCCCAGCACACTCTCTGACTGCCAAGTGATCGGTATAGGGACTTAGGCACGAATGTATGTGCTTCTAAAATCGATGTACAATATCGCTCAATTGGCTAGCGTGGGAGTGCATCCATGTTCTTGCCGGCTGCGTGATGATCAAGGAGTGGCCTATAGATTGCAATACAGGTGCAGTCCTTCGCAGCAACCGCCAACGAACGATCCTGACGACCGCAATAGTTTGAACACACTACCTGCTACGTGTGTGGCGTTATACCTACCATATTGGCCATCTGCCATGCCGGCTTAAAAACAGGCATGAGCTAATTCTATTCTTCCTTTGGCCAGGCACACACTCTGACTGCCAAGCGAGCAGTGACGGGGCGAACGAAGGAGTTTGATATCCTGCTGTCTAAATTCACGGGCAAGCCTGTGAGTAATGGTATGCTCGGCTGTGTTTGCATGATGATGTGGTTAAAGCTGTATTATCATTTCCACAGTCATAATGTTGTATACAAGTGTCCGGCTGTGTTCTCAGAATCACGGCGTACGTTGCATTCG